TAGAGAAACACATCCATTAGTTGCCTCCTGCTCACGCTCCAACCGGGCCAGGGATCAAACTTGCAACCCAGGTAGATGCCCTTGACCGGGAATCAAACCCACAACCTTTTGGTGCATGTGCCAATGCTCATACCAGCCAGGGTTGGAGTTGGCTGTTTTTAATTGCCCAGAAGTTAAACTAGGATCAATGTATTTTCACTGGACTCAATTTCTCTCTGTCTCCACTTACTACATATATAATAAAATGCAAACTTTTTCTTAACTGAGAGGATCAAGATATATGAGACACATAGTTTGCTAATGTGGGAAAATGATATATGAGCTTTGCTTGGTCATCACACAATGGGATCAGAAGTTTGAAATGCAACGCTTCTCACTCAGTTCTGGTACTGAATGCCTACTCTGCTCTGGTTTGCAACTTGGTGTTTGATACTGTTTGGTGCATTACAGAGATATACAGTTTTTTCAATGAAAGACTTACCAGAGTCTGATAGCTGCCAACACATACACACAACATTGCTGTATATTGATTACAAATACAACATGCAATCAAAGAGGGAGTTCAATTGGTTCTGTAAAACTGTACTATAAAAAAAAAACATTAAAAAATATGATAAAATGTTCACATTTGCTAAATCTCCATCGGGGTATATGGGAGTCACATTATTCTTTTCTCTTTTATCATAGTTACATGAAGAGTAAGTAAATCACTATGATGTAAATTTACAGACACATTCTTCTCTGTAAAATCTTCAAATTTTTTTCCTGTAACTTCCTTAGGAATAGCAAGCCATGAGTAGATATCATGAGAACACTAAGTCTCAAACTGTTGCAGGAGTGCATATGTTTGAGAGAGTTCCTGAACCTACTAACTGGTCCCTCAGTGGCATGCCATTACTTGGATATCTAGTTTCATCTTAACAGGCTTATCAGATCTTTCCGGGACAGAGTAGCTAAACTGTTAAGTGAGGCTCTGAGGATGGCTGTTGTGCCTGAAGGAAATACTATAGTGTAGATTACAACAGATTTCCATTAAAAGCCTCTGCCATTGACTGGGTGAAGAGGAGGGTACGGGGTGTTGCTCATTCCTCATCATAGGAAATTGGGTCAATTTATGATGCAGTAGCAAAGGGTAATTTCTCATGATTCAACTCTAGTCATTATCTAACACATGGTTTCCCAAAGTATGTTCTGACTCTGTGAAAAGCACACAGAGATAGAAACAAAACAAAACACACACACACACACACACACAACACAAAACAAACAAACAAACCCCCAAAACTAAAAGCTTCTATGTCAAATACATTTAGGGAATATTAGCTTAAAACAGCTTTCTTTATTTCATTCAAGAAGAAATACACTAGGATTCTTTTCCAAATGTATTTGTGTTTTGGAAATGTATTTGATCACAAAGCTCTTTCTTTGCAATATCATTTTACTATTTGAGAAACATGTTCTAACAAAATTATCTTTGATTTTTAAAATCCTGGAGCAACCACAAAAAAGCTGGTCTTTCTAAAAGTCATGCTGATAACTGTAGGCTAGCTCTTCTTACTTACCAATTGATTGGCTCTCAAAGGCTGCTCTGTTATCTCCAATTCCTTGCTAGCTGTTTCTGGATGCTGAAATAGAAAAGAAAAACCTGGTATTGCTTTCTTCTCCTCTCTTTATTCTATTTCTTGAAAAAATTAGAGACAGATTATATAACCTTGGCTTTCCCCTGAGTATATTGCTCGGGACAATCAAAAGTGTTGCTCAGTACCTTGTGAATGGCTTTGCAGAGGCATCTCACATTTTAGATAAACAGGGAGTTCCTTACTCTTTCTAAGAATCAACTCCTGATTTACAGGAAAACTTCACATGGACAGTTAACATGTATGTTCTTTGAGAGAATTATTGATTCTTTAGTTGGAAACTGATATCTCTCTTTTCAAAAAAATTTTTTTTTCTTTATTGATTTGAGAGAGAGAGGAAGGGAGTGGGAGAGAGAGATAGAAATATTGACAAGAGAGAACATCAATTGGCCACCTCCTGCATGCCCCCCACTGGGGATCGGGCCCACAACTTGGGCATATGTCCTGACTGGGAATCATACTGGCAACCTCTTGGTGCATGGGTCGATGCTCAACCACTGAGCCATACCGGCTGGACATCTGATGCCTCTCTTAATGAAGGAAGATGTTTTAGGGAAAAAGAGAAAAAAATGTGATGCCCAACAGGGAGACAAATCAGCAAGCAAAAAAAAAGTATAATACTATGAACAAAAGGCTTCATAGTATTGTCAAAAGACAATGTAGTTTCATTTTTGCAATAGTCTTTTAAATTTGCTTAATTTTTAATGTTTCATTGTCTTTTTTTAATGTCCCTCTTTTATTTTCTGTTATATATATATATATATATATATATATATATTTGGCCAAACTGCTTATAGTCAATTAATTATGTGGCAAAAAGAGATGTTTACAATGATACAACGTAGAACCCCTGAAGACACGTGGTCCAGCTAACAGTGAGCACCAACATCCAGACACATGAGTGAGACCCTCTGAAACCATGCAGCCACAATCAAGCCACCATGACTACATGGTCCCAGGCAAGCCAGCAGAAAAACACCTACCTGAGCCCTGCCCCAACGGATGACAGTGAAATTATGAACAAATATAATGGTTGTTGTTTCAAATCATTGTTGGTTGTGCTATTATGCAGTGATAGATAACTGTTGCATTAGGTCCCGAGTAGGTTAATATCAATGGAAATGAGAAGATGTGTACACAAGACATTTGGAATAATCCATGTTTATTGATGACTCTTCAATGAAAAGGCTTGGGAAAAGGGCAAAGCAGGTCAAAGAATATAAGAATTTAGAAATTTGTGCAAAGGTCAGAATGAGTTCAGGAATGGAATTGCATGAGCAGTTTTCAAGAAAGCACTTCTGCCTTAGCACTTAAAAATATTAACTCATTTATTTTTGAAAAACAGATATTTATTGCTAACAGTATGATGATAATACTATTTCAAAGATTCAATTTAATAAGTATATTTGTAAAGCTTTAAAGGTATTACAAGCTAGCCACTTTTTACTTTATATGAAAAATCAATCTTTAGAATAAACAGGAAAGCACATAAGCTCAAAATCAATAACAATTTATATTGCACTAATGATAACATTCATTTCAATGTATTAGCTGTCCACTTGTATAGAACTATATCCATTGTTTCACATTGCTAAAATCAGGGCTTCTCATAATTTACCAGTTAAATTTACAGATGGAGATTACCGGTATTTACAGCTTGATAGATGCCTATGATTGTCAACTGTATTATTGTACCATTTGAGAAGAGACAGTTCCTCAGATGTTTAGCACTTAGCTTTATGTTTAAGAACACTAGCCTGAGGAAATGTGTCAGTCAAATCCCCTACTTTATCATATTTAAAAAAATCAAAGTAATAAGCAATAAAGAGAATCCAGAATGAGGTAAAGTTAAAGTACAGTCATAACTAAAAAATGGCAGTAAAGAAAGTCTAACAAGTGCAGGGAATGGATAATGTGAATAAAGCAAAAATGTTCACAGGCTGTAAGAATCACAAAAAGGAACATATGCTACCTAAGTCATAAGACAGAGTGTAGATCTCTTGTAAAGGGAAGAACAAGATTTTTAAAAAGGATCGAAATGAATGAATTTAAATACCCTGTATCCATAAAAGAGTCAGTATTAAAGAAACAATAGCAATGTTGAAATAAGTGTTTAAGATCAAAGGAAGTCCACCCCGGCCGGCCTGGTTGAGCATAGACCCATGCACCAAGAGGTTGCTGGTTCTATTCCAGGTCAGGACACATGCCCAGGTTGTGGGCCCCATCCCCAGTGGGGGGCATGCAGGAGGGCGGCCAATTGATGTTCTCTCTCATCAATGTTTCTAGCTCTCTCTCCCTTTCACTTACTCTCTCTCTGAAAATAATAAAGGAAAAAAAGCAAGATTAAAGGGAACATACATTTAGATATATTGTTTTCATAAGATTTGTTTTGTATATATATATAAAAGCTTCCCCAGTCTCGTAAATATTGCTACCTACAAAGAACTTAGGTTATTAATTTTCTCTCAGGTTGAGGAAACAAGGACTGAGAAAAATTACGTGGACGTGGGAATCTGGAAGATCTATGTAATTTCTAGTGTGTATCAACTAGTTGGACTTTCATGTTGAACAGACATGCGTTAAGGAGAGCCAGTAAAATCAGAGACTGGGATCTTCTGGTCAGTCTTCCAGCTTGGTTTGTAAGAAAATATGTATATACAGAAATTTAGCAATTTTCTGGAATTAGAAGAGAATAAAATACACATAACGTTAATCAATCTGGACCCCTACCCCTACTTTCTTTTTCCCTTTACGTCCAGTTAGTTAGCTTCCCACGCTCAGGCCAGCAACATATCTGTGGGGAGTTACGTTCTTGGTTTTACCCCAGCAAAAGTTTACCTAAAAGGGCCTGGCAACGCTACTGCCACACCCCCAGTTCAGGCAGGTCCCGAACTCCAAGAGCTCCCAAACCACCCTCCTGCCAAATTTCCGCACAGAAAGCAGAGCCCGGCTCCCGGAGGCGTGGGAACAGGCCGTGCGCTCCTCCTCTCTCGCTGGGCGGAGCCGGCCCGCCGGGAAAGCAGCAGGTGCCGACGCGCCGCGCCCCGAGCTCAGTCTCGGGCGGACGCTCGCGCGGTGCGCGCAGTCAGGGGCGCCCGCGCACCGTCCCCGGGGCCGGTAGGGGGCCGACCGGGAGCCGCGCGGAACCAGTGTTGGAGCGCGCCGCCCCGCCCGCCCAGCCGCCCCGCCGCCGGCGTTCCCGCAGGTGGCTGAACCAGGTGGCCGAACCAGCCGGGCGAGCCCAGCTCGCCACGACTCCAGGCGGCAGCAGGTGGCTCCGGACTGCCCGCTGGCGCCTCAGTCCGGGCGCGAGGTGCGCCCCGCCGCATTCCGAAGCCCTGTGGGCCGCCCCCGTCGGGCGGGATGGAGGCGGACGGGGACCGGGACGCGCTGGCTCGGCTGAGCTCCGTCTTCGCCGCCTGCGACGCGAACCGCTCGGGCCGCCTGGAGCGCGAGGAGTTCCGCGCGCTGTGCGCGGAGCTGCGCGTGCGGCCGGCGGACGCCGAGGCCGTGTTCCAGCGGCTGGACTCCGACCGCGACGGCGCCATCACATTCCAGGAGTTCGCGCGCGGCTTCCGCGGGGCCCGCCGCGGGGGGCGGCGCCGGGGCTGCGGGCTGCGGGAGCCCGCGCTCGCCGAGCCCCGGGCTGGGTCGGACCTCGGGGACAGTGAGGAGGAAGACGGTGATGAGGACTCTGCGCGGGCAGCCCCCTGGGGCCCGGCGAGTCCTGGCCGGGCTTGGCAGGACTTCCACGCGCGACTCGGGGACGAAGTCAAGTTCATCCCCAGGTGCGTGTCTGGTTTGGGGGGCGGAAGGTGAAAAGGATGTTTCCTGTGCAGACTCACTGAATCCCACTCTTTGTGAGTTGCTTTCCTCCATTATGGATTCACCACCTTTTCCAAGACCGAGATCCTCTAAAAGTTAAGGAAAGGGAATGCATCCAGAGACAGGGGTTAGCGGAGAAAGTTTCCATTTCGGAGCCCTGCAAAAGGCGTTTTGTTCATTGCAAGGGCCATAGTGGGATCCTCAGCGTCCAGATACTCTTCCAGGACAGGGTGAGGAGCGCAGGCTCCTTGGTGCGACCTGGTTATGTCATCTACTGGAGGATTTCCGGGAGCCGGAGCAGTGGTGACCCCTGGGCCCTTTGCCAATTTGGTGTTCTCTATAGCAGTTTTTGCATATGTTGTTTTTCGACTACTAAATAGAAAAAGAGACATTGTTGGGTATTTGTATTACTGGACACATACAGTCATCGATGCCTAGTGTGCACAGGCATTTTACAGAGTTCATTTGTTTAAACTTCAGAATAACCTTGGGGCGGAGGGGAGAGGTAGACTTTCTTTTCTTTGATGAAGAAACTTAGACCCAGAAATTTATGCCTATAAAATGTTAAGGGACTTGCACAGTTAATAAAAGAGCAGGGATTTGATCCCAGATGTTGTGAATTGAAAAACTCTCTTTATATACAACAAAATAAAATGATAAAAGTCATACAATAAATTCTCTGCTTTTATGACTCCAACAGAAATAACATAATATAAAGCTACTAACTTAATTCTCGGCAGGAAAGGGGATGCCAGCTGGTTCAGGGCAGGGAGGGAACACTGCTCAGGTTTTTTTTTTTTTTTGAGATTAATTTGCACCTGTCTATGCCTAGTGTCGTGGTATGTCTCAGGCAGCTGCTACCGCTTCTTCCTCTGGCACTGCAAACACGTGAATGCTGTTAAATGGTTTTTTGCTTTCACCTTAGATTTCGTTGAAATTTTATGGAGCTCTGACTGTCATCAATAAGAAAATCTGAAAGACACTTTGGTTGACAGTTCACATATCTGAGACATAAGACACAGAAAAGGGAAAAGCCCTGGGAGGCAGCTGTGGCCTGGGTCACTCATTCACAGCTTAGACCTGCAGGGCAAGGAGTCCTCCACTTCCGCCTCCTCCCAGGTTCTCTCTGCAATTTGGAAAGTACAGGGAACACTGGCATGGAGAGTGATTCACTGCAGTATAAGAAGGATCCTGTAGAGAAAGTGGGCGTGATAACTATCTTTTCTAGTATTTACAAATGAGTTAAAATGCAGTCTCTCCCCTAGGGAAGTAGAAACACGTAAGCATTGCTATACACTCTGCTCTTTGAATCATCTTTCATTTGTAACTTGGTTTGGGTTCAGCTAAGTAAAAAGGTAACAATTTTAGGAATAAGGAAAGGCAAGTTCACATATTGTTTTTTTGTCTATATGTACACACACATATGGATCTACTTTTCACAGTTGTCAGGTCTCAGCCTCAGATAGTTGGGCACTTACCCCTTAAGTGATTAGAATGACCTTCCTGGGATCATTATTATTGGTGATGTTATTATTATTACCGTTTCAAACTCTTCAAGGTTATTAAATTTAATGGCCACCAGTGTCACCTGGTAGACTTGTGATCTAAGCCCCACCCCCTTCTGATGGGAGATTAGCAAGTACAATATTTGCCTTTCTGTACTTGTTTAAGTGGAAAAGAACTAAACGGAGCTGCTTCATCTGATTGTCACCATGGCTGCAATAACTGTTTTGGTAAATTGGATTGCTTCTATTCCACTTCCTCATACAGCTGTTCTCCTTCCCTTCCTCCTTACCAAATATGATAACAATCTTTTGTTATTGATAATGCCATTGCCATTATTTCAGCCAAATCAATTCTGCAAACATTGAGTATCTTTTTTGTACCAGACACTATCTTAGGTACTGTCCTGGGTACCCGGAGACAAAGAGAAGGATGAGATGTAGTTCATGGCCTCAAAATGGTTATAGTGTGGGGGAAACATTTTTCGAGAATTTCCTCCAAGAACATTTAAAGGCAAGATAGCTTTTTGCAGGAAACTCCATATAATGTGGACATAGCCCAACAGACTGCTGCAAGCAGGAACTTTCTTTGAAGTCTTGAGTTTTTATCTTAAGAAAAATAGTGAATTTGGTCATTCTACTCCATAATTTAGTGGAGCTTGTTTTAGTATAAAATACCTTCTTTTAAGGGCAAATTGTCTCTCTGGAAGGGTATGCCATTTCATCCGGTGGCTGTGTTTCCCTCCTGACACTCCATCTTCCCCCTGTGGTACTGTCTCCCATGCCTGTAGGGGGTGGTGGAGGATATTCATGTGCAGTTTGAGGAGAACAGATTTCAGATATAAGAATGTTTGGTTCTTGTAGAGACAAAAATATGGTAGTGATTTTCAAAGTTTATTCAAGCTCTTCAATCAAAATATTAAGCAAATTTGGGTTAAATTTTCCATTCATCGGTTACTGTGATACTAGAGAGAAAATAATACTGCATTGCGAAAGGATCAAAATGGTCTCTGTGATGTGTGTCAACACATTCTTAAGTCCTTTTCCTCTTGGAAAACTGAAGGACTCCTTCCCTTAAAGGAGTCACATGGCCTGCTAACCTGAGCTGGGCATGTGTACATGGCGTACAGGGTCAGGGTGGATCGTCACCATTTCCTAGTATACTGGAACTAGGTCAGCCAGCAGATGAAACCAGAATGGGCAAGGTGATGTGGTTGTGTAAGAGAGTTCTGGAAGGAAGATTGTTCTAGGTCAAGAAAAGTCCTGGAAATGGGGAGAGAATGTCTGGGGAGAGACAGAGAGCAGACTTGTAATAATTTAGCCTGGCCAATTTCTAGTGCCAGGTGCATTATCTCGATGAAATGGAAATTTGTACCCAGTAGATACTCAGTAAATGGACTCAGTAAACATTTGCTGGTGAATTGAATAAGCCTATGTCTTCAGTTCTTTGGTTCATATTCCGAGAAAGCAGTTCGTTTTTTCAATTTCTCTATTTGTTCAAGTTCTTGGTGAGAGCTGGCCATGGTATTTAGGGACTGGCAGGGAGAGAAGGAAAGTGTGTGTGTGTGTGTGTGTGTGTGTGTGTGTAGCATTTGACCAGGGGCAGGGGATGGTAGAACTCATCTCCTCTAATCAGAGCTGAAGCTTTTCAGTTTTCTTATCTCTATTTGTAGCAATTTTGAGTGTTGTGTGTGAATTGATTCAGTTTGATAAATTAGCTTAGAACCCCACATTCTCCGAAACGGAAACATGAGGGTCTCACTGACACTGGGACCACCATGATTTTGTGAATGGGCACAGGTTCCGCCATAATAGCCACACAGACCTAGGGTGGGTACCTGGAGTGTAACAGGTGCTCGTGTGATTGGTGACCTGCCAGACAGGGTAAGATGGGATTTGGTCAGACACCAAAATTGGTCCTGTGTGGTCAGTTGTGTCACATGGTTTGTGACCTTTCTACACACAAGATTTAGAAAGAAGAAATTTAATTGAGAGAACCATACTGCCCATGTGTGAACTGTGCCTGGGTGGCTCAAACAGTTTTCTTCAGCATGTTCATACGATGATTGCTAAAACTGGAGGAGAAGATCAAAATTGAACACCAATCTCACTTAACGAGGGCATCTTAAAAACAAGTAGCCACACGTAGGCAGAGCCATAGTTTGAGTATGGGTTAAGGGGTTTCTTTTGCATGCTTCCTTCTTGGGTTCCGCCTTCGGGTTTTTCAGTCTCATGGTCTTCTCTTGTGATAGCGCAGTTGCTTCGCAGCCCACTCGTACGTGGTGTGGTGCTGGGTGGTGTGGTGCTGAAGGGTAGGGAAGGGAGAGAAGAGATGGAGGCAGAGAGAGGGCTAGCGACAGAGGGAGACAGGGTAAAGGGGGCACAACAGGATCAACAGACAGATGGAGAGACACTGACTGATTGATTAGATAGTACCTCAGCGTCCCCTCTTTTCACTCAGTGTGTTTATGGCCCTGAGCCAGTTTGACATGGGAAAGACAAGCCAGTTCTTCTCTGTTTGATCTCAGCTCTTAAGTATTTTCAGAATGTAAGTATCTGGGTGCTTTGGACTGTGTTTATAGTGTTGGAAGATAAACATATATTTTTTACTCTTACGACGAGTAATACTGTGTTCAAAAGATTTGCTTCAGCCTTGAGGCACCATGTGGGTTGGACCCCAGTCCTAGAAGAGGTTTAGGGGTGTTTTTGACTATGTGTGATGTACCCTTGGTATTAGCCTTGGGATCTACAGTGTACTAGCCACAGTGTTTTCAGAGATTCTATGCCTTTTCTGGGTTCAGAACTGGGGTGTCTGTCTGTCTGTCTTTGTTTTCTCACTGTTTCTGGTCTTTTGTTTTTTCTTTTTAATATACCCTCTATTACAATTACGCGTGTCATTACCCGGCTGCGGAGGGGGGAGAAACCTGTTTGTTAAGAAAACCAAAGCTCTGCCTTGAGCCTTTGGAGCCTTGCAGGACTTAGTTTCTACGGGTTCCACTTACTGGTGGTCGCTTCTGGTTCTGATATTTGAATTTCATCTCAAGGTAATCATTTCTTTTTGGCCTCCTGGCCCCAGATAGGTACTCTGGCTTCCCCAGTCTTAGAGGACTATCAGGTTGGGTTATACACATGGTGGCCAGCTCTGACCTTCAGACCTTGCTGGTTGTTCAGAGCTTTTCTCTCAGGTTTTGATGAGAGATTATTTATTCTGCGCTGATGGGTGGGCACAAAGAAAAAGGCTTAAAATGGGATGTCATTGGAAGATTACATCTTCCTAGAACCACAGACTCTTCTCCAGCTTGTCTTTTACCCTGAAATGTTGATTTACTCCTCTCCGAAATCACCGTTCACATGCATGGCCAGACTGCTTCCATCACGGGGAGTATGTGAAAATCTTTACCTCTTTCTCGACTTCTTCCTGGTTACATAGTCTTATTTCATTTGTGAAATGGAAACAGCTA